CCCCAAAACCCCAAAACCCCAAAACCCCATGAGGAATTATCTTGAAGATTAATGGATTCTTCGAATTTAATTAATATATAAGCGAGTTCTATATTCATTCAATTGAGGTATATTGCATGACCTTTGGCAAGTCCCAAGGACCCTGAATATCACTATATAGATTGAGATTTGCAGAATTTTACTTTTTGAATTGATATGCATAAATGAAAATCCAAGGTGATATTAGTGATACAAACACGACAAGGAAAACATAAAATAAAGCAAATGAGCCTGAAATGTGTAAGACCATGAATAAATTGATAACTGATGTTACCACTGATAAAATGTCACAGATTGTTTGAGAATAGTTTCGAAGTCCTTGTCTAAACAAAGGATAGAATCCGAATAGTCTATATCAAATTAAGAATATGTGATTTACATTATAGATTCAAATAACAAAACATAGACTTGTCTCATTTTTTACAATCTTGAGGCAAGTAAAATGGCTGCAAAAAATACAGCATTCAAAGATGTAGGAGATCCAATGCTTTGAGTAATGTTTTCAAGCAGCAAAGGCTTCTTGACCATTGAATAATCATATAGGATAAGGTGTAAAATTACAAAGACTAAATGGCATCAAGACTGATAGAACTTACTAACAACTAATAAGATAATTGTGTCAGTAGAGTAAGCCACAGTCAAAGACTTCAAAACAGGGGTCAAGAAAAGCAGAGTACCAGCTAAAAAGACTCCAGTTTTCAAATCATTGATCATTCCATAAAAAGAATACTTGGCTTTGTTAATCCAAATAAAGGTACTGTAAAAGAAAATGCATGCAATAGTAACCACCAAAAATGTTTCGATCTCGTAATCATTGTCCAGAAGCAATTGAAAGCTGACCTATTCAGCATAAATTAGATTATAGATATCTCCTTATTCTTACAAGGAAACATGTCAGAGTATTGATAACATGGATTATTTCCAGAGTCTCTCTTATCATGGATGGGTAGCTAAGGTCAGGGAAGCTATCTGAAATCGATTAATGATATTAAGTTAATTTTTACTTTTATGGACTAATCCCTTCAGGAAGTAATCATCGACGTAATTGTCTGCTATACCATCTGGCATTTTTTCATAAAAATTCCTTGGCTTTCTTGGTCTTTTACTCTAGATATTGATCTCTAATATATTTTTATATGTGTAAGCAAGCTACATTTATTGCATTTAGAGCAAAACATAGTCTGAGACAATAATGACCCATCGAAAGGACAGAATCTGACACCTTTTTTCTTTTGTTGCAAGCTACTCATATTTAAATTATAAGTTTTTATAATACTATCCCTCATAAATGACACATTTTCCGTCATGGGGTTTTGGGGTTTTGGGGTTTTGGGG